AAATAAACTAGTCATCACTGCTGTTTGCATATACTATTACAGTCTCATTAAACTCAGAGTGAACCCCATCATTAGAGTCTTCTATTCAACCCAACTATAATACTATAACACTATTGCAAAAGTCTTTGGTTGATTGCGTACTTTAATCAAAACTATCCACAAAACGGTCAATGAAAAAAAGCGCTTTGAACATGACAAATCATTGCTTTGAACACGACATTGATTCATTGCTTTGAACATGACAAATCATTGCTTTGAACACGACATTGATCCACTGCTTTGAACATGACAAGCATCATTGCTTTGAACACAGCAAATCACTGCTTTGGACACAACATTGATCCGCTGCTTTGTAACACTCGGCTAATCTCTGACTGTCCGTTAAGTTGTTCAACTCTAAATGTGTCAATCATTAGTATGTATATGTAATCAATCAATCAAAACGCTACATGGTTAATCACTCAATTAATCTGTCAACTCTCTGTCTGGTTTGTCAATTAATTAATCAATCATTAGTATACATATGTAATCATTCACTAATTCAATCTGTTATATATCTAGTTCATCAATCAATCAGTCTGTTACATGTCTAGTTTGTCATTCACTCAATCACTAGTATGCATATCTAGTTTGTCAGTTAATTAATCAATGATCAGTATGCATATCTGGTTTATTATTCACTAATTCAATCTGTTACATGAATGGTCAATTAGTCAATGATCAATCTAGTTTGTCACTCAATTTATTACATGGTTTGTCAATCAGTTACATGAATGGTTAATCAATCAACCTGTTACATGAATGGTCAATTAATTAATCAATCATTAGTATACATATGTAATCATTCACTAATTCAATCTGTTACATGATCAATCAATTAATTAGTCAATGATCAGTCTAGTTTTTCTGTCAATCAGTCTGCTACATGAATGGTTAATCAATCTGTTATATATCTAGTTCATCAATCAATTAATGATCAGCCAAATTTGTCAATTAATTAATCTGTTACATGAATGGTCAATCAATCACTAGTATGTATATCTAGTTACTCAATCAGTTACATGAATGGTCAATTAATTACTAGTTACTCAATCACTAATTCAATCTGTTATATATCTAATTTGTCACTCAATTTATTACATGGTTTGTCAATCAGTCTGTTACATGAATGGTCAATTAATCAATGATATATCTGGTTTGTTAATTAATCATTAATATGTATATTTAGTTAATCAATCAGTCAATCAATCACTAGTATGTATATCTAGTTTGTCAATTAATTAATTGTCATTTTACATGTATGATCAATCAATCAGTCTGCTACATGAATGGTTAATCACTAGTACATATATTTACTCAATCAATTACTAGTACGTATATTTAATCAGTCAATTACATGTGTGGTTTGTCAATTAATTAATATGTTGTACATTTAGTTTGTCAATCAATCAATCATCAGTCAAGTTTGTCAATCAATTAATCATTAGTATGTATATCTAGTTCATCAATCAATTAACTAATCAATATATTACATTTATTATCAATCAATCATTATGCTATATTATAGGCAATTAACCATTCAGTCAATTAATTCAATTAATCAATCAAAACGCTACATGGTTAATCACTCAATTAATCTGTCAACTCTCTGTCTGGTTTGTCAATCAATTAGTCATTAATATGTATATCTAGTTCATCAATCAATTAACTAATCAATTGACCATTCAGTCAATTAGTCATTCATTAATTCAATCAATTAAATGTATGGTTTGTCAATTAATCAAAACGTTAAATGGTTAATCAATTAATCAATCAATCAATCAAAATGTTAAATGTATGGTTTGTCAATTAATCAAAACGTTAAATGGTTAATCAATTAATCAATTTGTTACATGTATGGTTTTTCAATTAACTAATATGTTGAATGTATAATTAATTAGTCAATCAATCATTTAAAATGCTAAATGTATGGTTTGTCAATTAATCAAAACGTTAAATGGTTAATCAGACACTCAATCAATTAAAATGTTAAATGTATGGTTTGTCAATTAATCAATTTGTTACATGTATGGTTTGTCAATTATTTAAAATGCTAAATGGTTAATCATTCAATTAATCAAAACGTTAAATGGTTAATCAATTAACTAATATGTTGAATGTATAATTAATTAGTCAATCAATAATTCAAAATGCTAAATGTATGGTTTGTCAATTAATCAATTAATCAAAACGTTAAATGGTTAATCAATCAATTATTCAATCATTTAAAATGCTAAATGTATGGTTTGTCAATTAATCAAAACGTTAAATGTATGGTTTGTCAATTAATCAATAACTCAATTTGTTACATGTATGGTTTTTCAATTAACTAATATGTTGAATGTATAATTAATTAGTCAATCAATAATTCAAAATGCTACATGGTTAATTACACAATCAATCAAAACGTTAAATGTATGGTTTGTCAATTAATCAATTAATCAAAATGCTACATGGCTAATCAATCAATTATTCAATTATTCAAAACGTTAAATGGTTAATCAATCAATCATTTAAAATGTTAAATGTATGGTTTGTCAATTAACTAATATTTTGAATGTATAATTAATTAGTCAAACACTCAATCAAAATGCTACATGTATAATTACACAATCAATCAAAACGTTAAATGGTTAATCAATCAATTAATCATTCAATCAATATGCTACATGTATAATCAATCAATTAATCAATCATTCAAAACGCTACATGGTTAATCAATTAATCAATTAAATGTATGGTTATTCAATTAATCATTACTATATATGATCAATTAGTCATTAGTACGTATATTTGATTTTTCAATCAATTAAATGTATGGTTTGTCAATTAACTAATATGTTGAATGTATAATTAGTCAAACACTCAATCAAGACGTTGCATGTATAATTACACAATCAATCAAAACGTTAAATGTATAATCAATTGGTCAATCAATCACTATTAGTATGTATAATTAATTGGTCAATCAATTAATCTGTTAAATGTATAATTAATTAATATGTTGCATGTATAATTAATTAGTCAATCAATATGTTATATGCATGGTTTGTCAATTAATCATTTATTCAAGACGTTAAATGTATAATCAATCAATTAATCATTACTATGTATAATCAATTAGTCAATCAAAACGTTAAATGTATAATTAATTATTCATTCATTCATTAGTATGTATAATTAATTGGTCAATCAATCATTCAATTAATCATTAGTATGTATAATTACACAATCAATCAATATGTTATATGCATGATCAATTAACCATTCATTCAATGTCAGGTTTAGTTTCACACTTGTATATCTGCTCTACATTGGATTGCCATTATACATACTATATATATCACCTGTCCAAATCGGGTTGCAATACCTTGCATATTGCTAAAGTTGAGCATTTAATATGCATCATTCAAATCACATATTAAATGCTCAACTACACAATAAATATACAAGAGTGGGTGAGTTTGATACTATGCCAGTGTATATACACACTTGGTATTGTATCATGTTTAATGTATGCATGTTTGGTGCTGTAACAATTCAATAATTGGTTTGGTGTTTGGTGATTGAAAGTCGGTTGATAATGTGTTAATAACTCGGTCCACAGTGGTCGTACAGTCTTGGGACCAACTTTAATCGACTCGGGGCTACAAACTATGGTATATTTGATATACAACATGTATATGGTACTGTAAAAGTGTCAAAAGTTTTTTAATGCATGGTCAAACGCATATGGTTAAAACGCGTTTCAAAATCAAACAAAACTTTTTAATGCATTGTCAAACGCACAAGGTTAAAACGCGTTTCAAAATCAAACAAAATTTTTTAATGCATTGTCAAACGCACAAGGTTAAAACGCGTTTCACAATCACGAAATTTTTTATATTTTGATAATAACTCGGTCCACAGTGGTGGTACAGTCTTGGGACCAACCCTAATCGACTCGGGACGACAAAATCTAGTAGGTTTGATATACATATGTATATGGTACCATACAAGTATCAGGTTATTCAATGCATGTTAACACACGTGATCGATTTTCAAGACACGTGTCAGTCAAAATGCGTTTCACAACCAAATGGATTTTTTTTTATTTCGGTAATAACTCGGTCCACAGTGGTGGTACAGTCTTGGGACCAACTGTAATCGACTCGGGACGACAAAATCTAGTATGTTTGATATACATATGTATATGGTACCATACAAGTATCAAAAGTTATTCAATGTATTGTAAAACGTCATGTAAATTAATCTCCGAGACACGTGTTTGATCTTCACTTTTTTTCTTACACTTGGCATGACAACTATCAACATGAATGTATGCAAACACCACCTAGGTAAGTCTAATCAATAGTGCTATACTATATATACAACCAGTTTAAATATGACTGGGAAATAACTGGTATTGGCCAAGTTATATGTGTTCAAAGTGACCATTTGTATCATCACAATCATATACTAAATGGTTAATTTCACCACCAATACTCGAGACTGGGTTAATTTGGTAACATGCCAATACTTGTATATACTTGGTATTGTATCATGACCAGTTTCAATGCAATCCATGCATGTTTGATAACACAGTAATTGAATGGTTGATGTTTTGTGGGTTGGACAGTGAGTTGGTTTTGATCTGTTAATAACTCGGTCCACAGTGGTGGTACAGTCTCGGGACCAACTTTAATCAACTCGGGACGACAAACTATAGTATGTTTGATATACATATGTATATGGTACTTTACAAGTATCAAAAGCTATTCAATGTATTGTAAAACGTCATATCAAACTGGTCGTCAAAAAAAAAGGCGACTCAGAGTCATAAGCCGTGATCTATAGATCTTGAGCTATATTACATATGTGTAACCATGTGTTGTTCATCAGAATATAATGCTGCCAATGCATTAGCTAATGATTGTTATGAATGGGTCATTTTATATCAATGCCATTCAGTCAGTCTTGACCGCTTTAGATCAGTTTTAGATCAACTTTGACAGCTTTAGATCAGCTCTATATTGGTTGTATATCAGCCTTGATAGTTCTAGATCAGTTCTGTATTGGTTATAGATCAGTTGTGATGCATGGTTTAGTTTGAATTGACAATACCATGACACACTTGATTGCAATACAGCTGTTATTGATCCAAGTCAATTATAAATGTACGCAAACCGTGCATATGCATGCTCAATCAATGGTGATATACTATATACACAATCAGTTTAAATATGGTTGGGAAATAACTGGTATTGGCCAAGTTATATGCGTTCAAAGTGGACCATTTGCATCATCACAATCGCGTACTAAATGGTCGATTTCACAACCAATACGCAAGCCTGTGCTGATATGGTGACATGACAATACTTGTATATACTTGGTATTGTATCATGTGTAATTTCAATACAATCCATGCATGTTTGATAACACAATAATTGAATAGCTGACGTTTTGTAGGTTGAATATTATAGTCGATGTTTGGCGTATCAATAACTCGGTCTACAGTGATCGTACAATGTCGAAATCAACTGCAATGTATGGCACACATATAGTCATGTATTGTGTATATGATTACGTCGTCGTTGGGGCAATATATCAATGTGTATCATGACCACTAAATGCATGTCCGAAAGTGTCGTTTTGGCGTGTTTGATGTCGAATATCTTGACCAATACTGACACTAGTTGCATGAAACTGCTACAGTATATGGATATTGCATTGGTATGTACGATGCATGCATGTATTGTCATGAAATTACAAAAAAAATATACAATTTATACTTACCACTAGTATTTGACATGATACCAAAATTGGATATATTTTGACCAATAGTGACACTAGTTGCATGCGATTGATACTGAACATGAGTATACATGCATACTATATACTGGACATGCATCAGGCCATATCGTCAACTAAATTGGAAACATGTCATAGTCACGACTGCCGGTCAAACTGGATGCAACTGGAACACACTCAACACGAATTATAAATGTCTGCAAACCGTGCACATGCATGCTCAATCAATGGTGATATACTATATACACAATCAGTTTAAATATGGTTGGGAAATAACTGGTATTGGCCAAGTTATATGCGTTCAAAGTGGACCATTTGCATCATCACAATCGCGTACTAAATGGTCGATTTCACAACCAATACTCAAGCCTGTGCTGATATGGTGACATGACAATACTTGTATATACTTGGTATTGTATCATGTGCAATTTCAATACAATCCATGCATGTTTGATAACACAGTAATTAAATAGCTGACGTTTTGTAGGTTGAATATTATAGTCGATGTTTGGCGTGTTAATAACTCGGTCTACAGTGGTCGTACAATGTCGAAATCAACTGCAATCAACTCGGGACGACAAACTACAGTATGTTTGATATACTGGCATGTATAGAACGCACAAACTGTCAAACTATACACGATATCCAAAACACCATCCAAATCAGTCGTCAATTTGCAATCAAAAACATGCATTATAGTCGCAAAACTTGACCAATTGACCTGCAATGTATGGCACACATATAGTCATGTATTGTGTATATGATTACGTTGTCATTGGTGCAATATATCAATGTGTATCATGACCACCAAATGCATGTCCGAAGGTGTCGTTTTGGCGTGTTTGATGTCGAATATCTTGACCAATAGTGACACTAGTTGCATGAAACTGCTACAGTATATGGATATTGCATTGGTATGTACGATGCATGCATGTATTGTCATGAAATTGCAAAAAAATATACAATTTATACTTACCACTAGTATTTGACATGATACCAAAATTGGATATATTTTGACCAATACTGACACTAGTTGCATGCGATTGATACTGAACATGAGTATACATGCATACTATATACTGGACATGCATCAGGCCATATCGTCAACTAAATTGGAAACATGTTATAATCACGACTGCCGACTGAATTGGATGCAACTGAAACACACTCAACACGAATTATAAATGTCTGCAAACCGTGCACATGCATGCTCAATCAATGGTGATATACCATATACACAACCAGTTTAAATATGGCTGGGAAATAACTGCTATTGGCCAAGTTATATGCGTTCAAAGTGGACCATTTGCATCATCACAATCGCGTACTAAATGGTCGATTTCACAACCAATACTCAAGCCTGTGTTGATATGGTGACATGGCAATACTTGTATATACTTGGTATTGTATCATGTGCAATTTCAATGCAATCCATGCATGTTTGATAACACAGTAATTAAATAGCTGACGTTTTGTAGGTTGAATATTATAGTCGATGTTTGGCGTGTTAATAACTCGGTCTACAATGGTCATACAGTGTCAGTGACAACTGCAATCAACTCGGGACGACAAACTACAGTATGTTTGATATACTGGCATGTATAGAACGCACAAACTGTCAAACTATACACGATATCCAAAACACCATCCAAATCAGTCGTCAATTTGCAATCAAAAACATGCATTATAGTCGCAAAACTTGACCAATTGACCTGCAATGTATGGCACACATATAGTCATGTATTGTGTATATGATTACGTTGTCATTGGTGCAATATATCAATGTGTATCATGACCACCAAATGCATGTCCGAAGGTGTCGTTTTGGCGTGTTTGATGTCGAATATCTTGACCAATAGTGACACTAGTTGCATGAAACTGCTACAGTATATGGATATTGCATTGGTATGTACGATGCATGCATGTATTGTCATGAAATTGCAAAAAAATATACAATTTATACTTACCACTAGTATTTGACATGATACCAAAATTGGATATATTTTGACCAATAGTGACACTAGTTGCATGCGATTGATACTGAACATGAGTATACATGCATACTATATACTGGACATGCATCAGGCCATATCGTCAACTAAATTGGAAACATGTCATAGTCACGACTGCCGACTGAATTGGATGCAACTGAAACACACTCAACACGAATTATAAATGTCTGCAAACCGTGCACATGCATGCTCAATCAATGGTGATATACTATATACACAATCAGTTTAAATATGGTTGGGAAATAACTGGTATTGGCCAAGTTATATGCGTTCAAAGTGGACCATTTGCATCATCACAATCGCGTACTAAATGGTCGATTTCACAACCAATACTCAAGCCTGTGCTGATATGGTGACATGACAATACTTGTATATACTTGGTATTGTATCATGTGCAATTTCAATACAATCCATGCATGTTTGATAACACAGTAATTGAATAGCTGACGTTTTGTAGGTTGAATATTATAGTCGATGTTTGACGTGTTAATAACTCGGTCTACAGTGGTCGTACAATGTCGAAATCAACTGCAATGTATGGCACACATATAGTCATGTATTGTGTATATAGTTACGTCGTCATTGGGGCAATATATCAATGTGTATCATGACCACTAAATGCATGTCCGAAAGTGTCGTTTTGACGTGTTTGATATCGTATATCTTGACCAATACTGACACTAGTTGCATGAAACTGCTACAGTATATGGATATTGCATTGGTATGTATGATGCATGCATGTATTGTCATGAAATTACAAAAAAATATACAATTTATACTTACCACTAGTATTTGACATGATACCAAGATTGGATATATCTTGACCAATACTGACACTAGTTGCATGCGATTGATACTGAACATGAGTATACATGCATACTATATACTGGACATGCATCAGGCCATATCGTCAATCAAATTGGAAACATGTCATAGTCACGACTGCCGACTGAATTGGATGCAACTGAAACACACTCAACACGAATTATAAATGTCTGCAAACCGTGCACATGCATGCTCAATCAATGGTGATATACCATATACACAACCAGTTTAAATATGGCTGGGAAATAACTGCTATTGGCCAAGTTATATGCGTTCAAAGTGGACCATTTGCATCATCACAATCGCGTACTAAATGGTCGATTTCACAACCAATACTCAAGCCTGTGTTGATATGGTGACATGGCAATACTTGTATATACTTGGTATTGTATCATGTGCAATTTCAATGCAATCCATGCATGTTTGATAACACAGTAATTAAATAGCTGACGTTTTGTAGGTTGAATATTATAGTCGATGTTTGGCGTGTTAATAACTCGGTCCACAGTGGTCGTACAATGTCAGGGACAACTGCAATCAACTCGGGACGACAAACTACAGTATGTTTGATATACTGGCATGTATAGAACGCACAAACTGTCAAACTATACACGATATCCAAAACACCATCCAAATCAGTCGTCAATTTGCAATCAAAAACATGCATTATAGTCGCAAAACTTGACCAATTGACCTGCAATGTATGGCACACATATAGTCATGTATTGTGTGTATAGTTACGTCGTCGTTGGTGCAATATTCAATGTGTATCATGACCACCAAATGCATGTCCGAAGGTGTCGTTTTGACGTGTTTGATGTCGTATATCTTGACCAATACTGACACTAGTTGCATGAAACTGCTACAGTATATGGATATTGCATTGGTATGTACGATGCATGCATGTATTGTCATGAAATTGCAAAAAAAATATACAATTTATACTTACCACTAGTATTTGACATGATACCAAAATTGGATATATCTTGACCATTAGTGACACTACATGCATGCGATTGACACTGAACATGAGTATACATGCATACTATATACTGGACATGCATCAGGCCATATCGTCAATCAAATTGGAAACATGTTATAATCACGACTGTCGACTGAATTGGATGCAACTGGAACACACTCAACACGAATTATAAATGTCTGCAAACCGTGCATATGCATGCTCAATCAATGGTGATATACTATATACACAATCAGTTTAAATATGGCTGGGAAATAACTGCTATTGGCCAAGTTATACATGTTCAAAGTGGATCATTTGCACCATCACAATCGCGTACTAAATGGTCGATTTCACAACCAATACACAAGCCTGTGTTGATATGGTGACATGACAATACTTGTATACACTTGGTATTGTATCATGTGCAATTTCAATACAATCCATGCATGTTTGATAACACAGTAATTGAATAGCTGACGTTTTGTAGGTTGGATATTATAGTCGATGTTTGGCGTGTCAATAACTCGGTCCACAGTGGTCGTACAATGTCGAAATCAACTGCAATGTATGGCACACATATAGTCATGTATTGTGTATATAGTTACGTCGTCATTGGGGCAGTATATCAATGTGTATCATGACCATCAAGTGCATGTCCGAAGGTGTCGTTTTGACGTGTTTGATGTCGAATATCTTGACCAATAGTGACACTAGTTGCATGAAACTGCTACAGTATATAGATATTGCATTGGTATGTACGATGCATGCATGTATTGCCATGAAATTGCAAAAAAATATACAATTTATACTTACCACTAGTATTTGACATGATACCAAAATTGGATATATTTTGACCAATAGTGACACTAGTTGCATGAGATTGACACTGAACATGAGTATACATGCATACTATATACTGGACATGCATCAGGCCATATCGCCAATCAAATTGGAGACATGTTATAATCACGACTGCCGACTGAATTGGATGCAACTGAAACACACTCAACACGAATTATAAATGTCTGCAAACCGTGCATATGCATGCTCAATCAATGGTGATATACTATATACACAATCAGTTTAAATATGGTTGGGAAATAACTGGTATTGGCCAAGTTATATGCGTTCAAAGTGGATCATTTGCATCATTACAATCGCGTACTAAATGGTCGATTTCACAACCAATACTCAAGCCTGTGTCAATATGGTGACATGCCAATACTTGTATATACTTGGTATTGTATCATGTACAATTTCAATACAATCCATGCATGTTTGGTAACACAATAATTGAATAGCTGACGTTTTGTAGGTTGGATATTATAGTCGATGTTTGACGTGTCAATAACTCGGTCCACAGTGGTCGTACAATGTCGAAATCAACTGCAATGTATGGCACACATACAGTCATGTATTGTGTGTATAGTTACGTCGTCATTGGGGCAATATATCAATGTGTATCATGACCACTAAATGCATGTCCGAAGGTGTCGTTTTGGCGTGTTTGATGTCGAATATCTTGACCAATACTGACACTAGTTGCATGAAACTGCTACAGTATATAGATATTGCATTGGTATGTACGATGCATGCATGTATTGCCATGAAATTACAAAAAAATGTACAATTTATACTTACCACTAGTATTTGACATGATACCAAGATTGGATATATCTTGACCATTAGTGACACTACATGCATGAGATTGACACTGAACATGAGTATACATGCATACTATATACTGGACATGCATCAGGCCATATCGCCAATCAAATTGGAGACATGTTATAATCACGACTGCCGACTGAATTGGATGCAACTGAAACACACTCAACACGAATTATAAATGTCTGCAAACCGTGCACATGCATGCTCAATCAATGGTGATATACCATATACACAACCAGTTTAAATATGGCTGGGAAATAACTGGTATTGGCCAAGTTATACATGTTTAAAGTGGATCATTTGCATCATTACAATCGCGTACTAAATGGTCGATTTCACAACCAATACTCAAGCCTGTGTCAATATGGTGACATGACAATACTTGTATATACTTGGTATTGTATCATGTACAATTTCAATGCAATCCATGCATGTTTGGTAACACAATAATTGAATAGCTGACGTTTTGTAGGTTGGATATTATAGTCGATGTTTGACGTGTCAATAACTCGGTCTACAGTGGTCGTACAATGTCAGGGACAACTGCAATGTATGGCACACATACAGTCATGTATTGTGTGTATAGTTACGTCGTCATTGGGGCAATATATCAATGTGTATCATGACCACTAAATGCATGTCCGAAGGTGTCGTTTTGGCGTGTTTGATGTCGAATATCTTGACCAATACTGACACTAGTTGCATGAAACTGCTACAGTATATGGATATTGCATTGGTATGTACGATGCATGCATGTATTGCCATGAAATTACAAAAAAATGTACAATTTATACTTACCACTAGTATTTGACATGATACCAAGATTGGATATATCTTGACCATTAGTGACACTACATGCATGCGATTGATACTAAACATGAGTATACATGCATACTATATACTGGACATGCATCAGGCCATATCGTCAATCAAATTGGAAACATGTTATAATCACGACTGCCGGTCAAACTGGACGCAACTGAAACACACTCAACACGAATTATAAATGTCTGCAAACCGTGCATATGCATGCTCAATCAATGGTGATATACTATATACACAATCAGTTTAAATATGGCTGGGAAATAACTGCTATTGATCAAGTTATATGCGTTCAAAGTGGATCATTTGCATCATCACAATCGCGTACTAAATGGTCGATTTCACAACCAATACTCAAGCCTGTGTTGATATGGTGACATGACAATACTTGTATATACTTGGTATTGTATCATGTACAATTTCAATGCAATCCATGCATGTTTGATAACACAGTAATTGAATAGCTGACGTTTTGTAGGTTGGATATTATAGTCGATGTTTGGCGTGTTAATAACTCGGTCCACAGTGGTCATACAATGTCGAAATCAACTGCAATGTATGGTACACATATAGTCATGTATTGTGTGTATGATTACGTCGTCATTGGTGCAATATATCAATGTGTATCATGACCATCAAATGCATGTCCGAAGGTGTCGTTTTGGCGTGTTTGATGTCGAATATCTTGACCAATACTGACACTGCATGTATGCGATTGACACTGAACATGAGCATACATGCATACTATATACTGGACATGCATCAGGCCATATCGTCAATCAAACTGGAAACATGTTATAATCACGACTGCCGGTCAAACTAGACGCAACTGGAACACATTCAAAACATGACTTATTACACTGTAGTTTGGACTGTATACACATCATATATTCATGTTACAATGGCCGATACATTCACTTGACTACAATACATATCGATGACTGGCATATTCACTAACGATTGATTGTGTAATGTATGAATATCAAATGCATTGTATAGTTTAATTGACTGGCTGTTTGACCTGCATTTCAACTAGTATTTAGACTGTTATTCTGACCAGTATTTGACGATTGTTTAATCCATATATTGACCAGTTGTTTGGCCTGCATTTTAACTAGTATTCTGACTTGTATTTGACTGTTGTTTGACGAGTATTTGACCTGCATTTCAACCTGTTGTTTGACGAGTGTTTGACTAGTTTAGCCTGCATTTCAACCTGCATTCTGACCAGTATTTGACGATTGTTTAACGATTGTTTAAACCTGCATTCTGACCAGTTGTTTGACTGTTATTCTGACTTGTATTTGACGAGTATTTTGACGAGTATTTGACGAGTGTATTTGACGAGTGTTTGATTAGTTTAACCAGTATTTCAACCTGCATTCTGACCAGTTGTTTGACGATTGTCCAGACCTGCATTCTGACTAGTTGTTTGACTGTTATTCTGACCTGCATTTGATCCTATTTGACGAGTATTTTGACTAGTATTTGACCAGTGTTTGACGAGTGTTTGACTAGTTTAGCCTGCATTTCAACCTGTTGTTTGATTAGTTTAGTCTGCATTCTGACCAGTATTCTGACGATTGTTTGACGATTGTCCAAACCTGCATTCTGACTAGTTGTTTGACCTGTATTCTGACTAGTTGTTTGACCAATTGTTTGTAAAAAACTACAGTCGTTCATACTCGAATACATGGTCAGTGGCTCAACCAATACTACAGTTACACATACTACAGCTTGATGACAATGACAGTAACACTGTTACGATGACTGTTTCAAGTTTGTGCAAAACTACAGCCAACAAAAATAGGGATTCGGACAAAACTGCATTGACTGGTGTGTGTCGAGTATGTCGATTCAACCAACACATGCCAACACTACTGCGTCTCTGGTTATACAACAGCATACACATGGCCATGTATGACGACTGTCAAACTGTATGCAACAATCGAGTGTTCAAGTGTTGGGTAAAGTCGAATAACGACCAGAATTACACGATTTAATAAACTCGATTGTACACTGTCAGGCTACAAACCTTGATCGTTTTTACAGTTATTGATAGTTATTGATGGTCATTGACAGTTATTGATAGTCACTAGTAGTTATTGATAGTCATTGATAGTCACTGTCCAACAACACAGTCACAATAATATATTTACGACTATAATCATGCCTGATTTGGAGCGTTTTGTTGGCATATATTATGGTCTATTACACAACCAATACATGATATCATGCCAGTTTGATGCCATGACAATACATGTATACACTTGATATTGTATCATGTCCAGTTTCAATGCAATCCATGCATGTTTGTTGGCACAACACTGTAATATATGATGGTTTTCTTGACGACATGCTGGGACAGTATGAGCTAGTCGATAATATGTTAATAACTTGGTCAGTAGTGGTCGTACAGTGTCAATGCCAACTGATATCGAATCAGAACGATATACTACATGTATTTTTGACGCATTTGCATACAAGATAAATTGTTGATTGACTGATAGACACGATACTAGATTAAAATAACAAGTAGAGCTCGTCGTTTCAAACCAATTGCAAACTAAAAACTTTAATATCGACTATGACCACAAAAGTCGACCAAATGACTTGGTATGCACCACATATATGTAATTATGTGTTGCGGATCGAATTATGATGTCACTGACGCACTATGGTCAATATCTGACATGGAATGGGCCGACCAAAGTCCGAAAATGACGTTTTGGCGTGTTTGATGTCGTATATCGTCGTCAATAGTGACACTAGTTGCATGAAACTGCTACAGTATATGCACATGACATTGGCATGTACAATGCATGCATGTGTTGACATGCGATACATGCAAAAAATACAACTTGCACATAGCACGAATATTTGACATGAAACTGGAAATGCGTGTATCTCGATGAATAATGACACTACATGCATGCGATTGATACTGGACATGTATGTATATACATACTATATATTGGACATGCATCATGGCATGTTGTCAACTAAACTAACAACATGTTATAGTCACGACTGTCGATCGAATTGGACACGTCGGTATACACTCAAAACACGACTTATTGCGCTGTGGTTTGGACTGTATACATATCATGTATATATATTACAATGGTCAATATATCAATACGATAGCATCAATATTGACAAAGTTGGATATATTGTCCGAATATCAGACATGGTATCCTGTCCGAATGTCCGGATAATATCAGACACGAGTGGTTAGTATGACGTTTGGAGTGTCCGAATGCGGATATATTAATGCAGCGGTCAATTATGGTGGTAATCAGGGTCATGTCAGCGCTAAAATATATACAGCCGAAGCTATGTCGTCAGGTCAGTTGACATTACAACAGATCAAGTTTTCTGTTTTTTTTTCTACGAATACTGTCGATATTTGCAGAATATGTCAACTAGTATAGTACTGCATTGGTCGACTTGATGGCTTGTCAATGGCTTGTGAACAGACGCTAATTGTCAAGGTTAGAACATGCTGCTATTGATGGAATTTTAAATGTCTTGAAACGTCCAACATGAAATACACTAATTTATAATGTATTGACTAATGCAATTTGACAACGTAGTATCATACATACATACTATATACACAATCAGTTTAAATATGGTTGGGAAATAACTGCTATTGGCCAAGTTATACATGTTCAAAGTGGACCATTTGCATCGTCACAATTACAAATTAAATGGCCGATTTCACAACCAATACTCAAGCCTGTGCTGATATGGTGACATGACAATACTTGTATATACTTGGTATTGTATCATGTACAATTTCAATACAATCCATGCATGTTTGATAACACAATAATTGAATAGCTGACGTTTTGTAGGTTGAATATTATAGTCGATGTTTGGCGTGTCAATAACTCGGTCTACAGTGGTCATACAATGTCGAAATCAACTGCAATGTATGGTACACATACAGTCATGTATTGTGTATATGATTACGTCGTCATTGGGGCAATATTCAATGTGTATCATGACCACCAAATGCATGTCCGAAGGTGTCGTTTTGACGTGTTTGATGTCGAATATCTTGACCAATACTGACACTAGTTGCATGAAACTGCTACAGTATATGTATATTGCATTGGTATGTACGATGCATGCATGTATTGTCATGAAATTACAAAAAAATATACAATTTATACTTACCACTAGTATTTGACATGATACCAAAATTGGATATATTTTGACCAATAGTGACACTAGTTGCATGCGATTGACACTGAACATGAGCATACATGCATACTATATACTGGACATGCATCAGGCCATATCGTCAATCAAATTGGAAACATGTTATAATCACGACTGCAGGTCAAACTAGACGCAACTGGAACACACTCAAAACACACGATATTACACTGTAGTTTGGACTGTATACACATCATATATTCATGTTCCAATGGTCAATACATGAATACGATAGCATCAATATTGATAAAGTTGTATGCAATATTGTTCACTGCAATATGCATATATGATGTGTATACAGTCCAAATATCAACGTGATCATACGTGTTTGACTGGGTGTCTGAAACAATGTCCAAACAATCAATATCATTGCTGAACAGTATGCCATTAAACTCATGTCGTCATAGTAGTTGAAATACGTAACCAATTCATGATTGAATTTGATGTTTTTATGCATGAATACTGACTGTTATTGCGTGATTATAATGTGTATAGTATTACATCGACCATACTCAATCAACATCACATCAATGGCACATCAATGGCATGTCAATAGTGCATCAATGGCACATGAACAGACGCTAAACATCAGTCAAAATACATGTCAAAATACACCACAATTAGTCGAGTTTCAAATGGTCACATACAACACACTCAACACGAATTATAAATGTCTGCAAACCGTGCATATGCATGCTCAATCAATGGTGATATACCATATACACAATCAGTTTAAATATGGTTGGGAAATAACTGCTATTGGCCAAGTTATACATGTTTAAAGTGGATCATTTGCACCATCACAATCGCGTACTAAATGGTCAATTTCACAACCAATACACAAGCCTGTGTCAATATGGTGACATGACAATACTTGTATATACTTGGTATTGTATCATGTACAATTTCAATGCAATCCATGCATGTTTGATAACACAATAATTGAATAGCTGACGTTTTGTAGGTTGGATATTATAGTCGATGTTTGGCGTGTCAATAACTCGGTCTACAATGGTCGTACAATGTCGAGGACAACTGCAATCAACTCGGGACGACAAACTACAGTATGTTTGATATACTGGCATGTATAGAACGCACAAACTGTCAAACTATACACGATATCCAAAACATCATCCAAATCAGTCGTCAA